GATACAGCAAGAGTATGCTCGTGTACTTCCTGATTTGAAGTCACTGTTGGAGAAAGAACAGGCGTGGAAAGCCAAGCATGCTCAAACTAGTCAGACCCTCGGGGTTTCTCAAGCGTTTGAATTTGGGAAGAGATCCACCTTTGAGTATGTACTAAAGAACTTACTTCTGACTCCTCGACTAACTAGATCCACAGGCAAACAAAGATCGCTCAACTTGAACACGATGTCAGCCAACTCGCAACGAAACTCGATATTGCTCTTTCCAAACCTCCAGATGTGGAACATTGATCTGTTTTTCTTTCGGTCTTTCGTCGTGCTGTGTACCATCTCATTCGCAACGGGTTAATAATCTCAATGTATTTTACTTAGCAGAAATATGTGTCTTGTTTACAACCGTAAAGAGATGCCCTGAGGATACAGTGCATGAACACGGATATCATCGCTGACATTTAATAGTCGTCCATTGACCCAGCGAGAAGGGGCGTTAGTAAACGTAGCGGACTGTTTCAGACAGTCAGTCCATGAAACCTGCCAATGTTTGAACAGATACGCACAGTCGGGATTTTCTTGGTCAGTAAGGTCATCAAAGGCCCGTCGATGGGCAAGATGCTCATCCTGGAGGGTAGAATGTTAAGATAAATCCTAGACTTCGATGAAGATGAGCCTACCGAATCTTCACCACTAGCCTGACTCTCTTTCAGGGATTGCGCACGGCGTTTCAAGACATTCAAGCGCATAAGCCGTATTCTAAGGAGGAAGATAGTTGCGATCTGGAGCCCGTACATAACCATATGGGCGATCCATGCTTTCACGTATCGAGGACCGTCATCGGAACGGAAAACTGAATACATTATTATCATCAGATATATATGCTGAAAAGGGAAAACACACCTTGTGGTCCCACAGCGTTTCCAACTGCCCATGCACTAGAAAAGGATTCACTGTCTAGCTATTCTTTCTAATTATGCAAGTGCACTTACACGAATACCAACGTCGACGCTATCACTTGCTTGGACCGCTAAATGAATATTGTCAACGCGTATCCTTTGCAGAGCACTGTTTGTACATACCCCGCCGACATTTCCGGACATTACTGCCAAGTTCAAGACTGCAACGGCGCCGAAACCTTGTGTGCAACTGGGGCATCTTCAGTGCAAAGTTCTTGGATCAAGAAAATAGACATACTAAAAAGCAATCAGAAGCCCGACTTTGGTCTTTGCAGATGTTTCTACGCAGATGAATACAATCGTGCCAGCAACGTTGGGAAGAGTATACAGCTATTGACAAACGAAGGCGTTACGAGGCAGTCCGAACATTAGAATATGGCGACTTACAAAAGCTAGCAGAAGCTTTTGGTTGTATCTTTTCGACAGATATGCCGCGCTGAATAAGAATGACATAATAATGACACCTGAAAACGGTTGGGTGGGGGAAAGTGCAGGTCTGAACTATTCTCACCCTGTGCAATAGCGAGCAAGTAAGTCTGCAGAACTGTGAACCCCTTTTAACAGTTAATACTGACTGTCTGGGCGACGAGGTGACGCTGTGCTCACAAATGCTGTCAAAATGATGTTCGAGAAAGCACCGATACCGCCAGTGGGCAAAGCATTTGTAAAGGAGATCAGGGTGATAGCCCATATAGTTGGATCCAAGAGGCCTTCGACTATTGAAAGGGAGGTCAGGACATTAAGCTTTGTGGATGCATACACGCAACGTACTTGCTTGGTGTTTCTGTGGCATTACTTTGATTAGAGCATAACAGTGTGCGGTAAAGATGATTGCACCTTAAACTCTTTGTTCTGCAATCCGGTATCATTTTTCCTGACACGTTCTGCCATAAGAATGCGATCTTCGGGAGTAAAGCACTTGGCCCGCATGGGACTATCTGGGAGCCAGAATCCGATAAAGATACCCCATACGAAAGTGATGCAGCCGAGTAGCTGATAGATCGATTAGAAACGGAAGTCAGCGAGGGAAAGCTGAGGCCGCGTACGGTAAATAGTATTTGCCAGTTCTTAATCTTTGCGTCTGTGATCTGGGCGATTCCATAAGCAATGAGACCGCCAACGCATTGTTGGAAGCCATTCATGGAGTAGAATGACCCGATGACCAAAGCTTGCTCTTCTCGAGTATACCACATCGTAGACCTTCGTACATCAGTGACGCATCTTTCCGAAATACGGAGCTGACTCACAGGAAAACAAAGGCGGGCTGGCAGACACATTCAAATATGCCCAAGAGGGTTCGTACGACAACTAATCCAACAAAGTTGTTACAAGCCGCCGTGCAGGCTAGAACAGCACCCCAGGCCATGATACTGTCAGCGGAACTAAGCTTCTTTTATGACCCGGGAGATAAGAAGCACACATACTTGAACGAAAGATACTTCGCGATGGGGAGTCGCTGAATGAGCCGGTTGGTCGGGAACTCCCAGGCGAGTCTGTTGACATGTTACAAATATTCAAGATATAATACGGTAAACTCTTACATCGCGATATAAACTGAAATATAGTTAGCGAGCTGTCCAAGAGCCAAAGTGTTGATGCCTACCACATGTAGTTAACCAGGCATACTGTTGGCCGTGAAGGTGGGTATCTGTCCGAATGCCCATGATCGAAGCAAAGTTGATTGTTCTATGAAGGGTATCTCATCAGGCGCTAACACAGCGAAGGAAAGCCGAATACTCACCCTTTATCCAGGGTCTGTGCGACTGAGGGGAAACGTAAGTGCAGAACACGTCGAAACGAAGCAAACACGTTTACAGTAAGTAACGACCATGACAAGCTAGCGTGCAGGAAACGGTGAGTGACAGTAGATGAGGTGGGATAGAATATCGTACCAAGACACGCTTGTGCACGAGCCATCTAAGACGCCTGTTTGTCGCTTCGTCGATAACTACTGGTGTGTCTTGCGAAGCGAAAAAGTTTGCAACTTCGGCGTCAATTCCGGCTGGCGGCGCGCCTACTGGGGAGTATTTAGCTAGTGACGAATTTACAAGTAAGAGGAAGTAATAACCAGAGGTAGGAGAACCAGTACGGTAGGAGTCCTTCTCGACATCCTCAACATGTTCGTGTAAGTCTTTGGTCACGCTCGACATGGTGAGAAGAAGCTAGAACTTCGGACCCTCTGAGAAGCATCAGGCAAACTTTTTATATGAGTCGATGAAAGGGGATCGGAAAGGTCCTGTGATATGATCGCCCCTGGACTAACAGTAGTACGCGACCTACTAGAAGTCGATCGTTGGTCCGGGGCCCCGCAGCTGAACCTCGTTATTTCCCCACATGCCCCGGCTGGCGGTCCGCGGCCCGCCCTCCTTCTCCTACACACTTTAAAGCGAGATCCGTGGCCAGAACGCTCCTTTTCATCGCTATGTCGGCTAGAAATATCAACCCTCAAAAGGTAAGGTTCCATATCGCCCGCAGTCGGTCATTCTCCTCATCTATTATGCAGGTTCAAACCCTGAAATATATTCGCAATCTCATCAATTGCCTGGTGAACATCGAAGATGAAACCGGAGAGTTTCTCATGACCTTGAAAGATGGAAGGGTCATCGATACGAAAGGGTGGAACGACTGGGAGGTGAGATCATCGCCATTAAAGGGACCGGCTTCTGACTGGCGTATTCTAGTGGACACATGGCGTTGGTTAGTGGTTTCTGGTATCAAGACGAAACACCTAAGCGCAAAACAGGACTTTACGGACTTTGGAAATTTCACGAAATCACCGGTGATCAGGAGGCCCTGGATATTTCCCTAGCGTGGTTTAAAGACCGCTTCGAAATTGGAACTACCAAAGTATGTGACTTGTCTTTCCAAGATACAAAGTTCGCCTAACCTCTGGAACAGAATGTCAATACCATGTCGCCATTGTTGACCGCCGCATACCTTCATGAAGGGAAGTACGCCAGTTACCGAGCCCATCTGGACTCTTGGGCCGAATGGGTGATGTACGACATGCCCCGAACCGAAGACGGCGGTCTGCAGCACATCACGTATCTTGTTGACAACTACCAGCAACTCTGGGACGATACACTGATGATGTGCGTCTTGCCTTTAGCGAAGATAGGTCTTGTACTTGGTCTACCTGCCTATGTTGAAGAAGCTAAGCGTCAATTCCTGCTACAGTGAGTATGTGTGATTGCAAGAAGACGATGCACTCACTCACCGTCTATAGTATCAAGTATCTGCAAGATGTGCAGACTGGGCTCTGGTTTCACGGTAGGCGTTTGTCCCAGCTGCTCGAGCCTGCACTCACATCCATGAATAGGTTGGACCTTTGATGGACGACATCACTTTGGGCGAGCCAGGTGGGGCAGGGGAAACTGTTGGGTAACAGTGGCCATTCCGGACTTTGTTGAGATGCTTCAATTGCCTGAAACCGACGGCGTCCGACTGTTCCTGATCTCCTCCCTCGTCACTCAAATCGATGCATTAGTGAAATACCAAGACCCCGCGACCGGCCTTTGGCATACCATTCTCGACGATCCGACATCGTATTTGGAGGCGTCTTGCACGGCTGGATTCGCGTACGGAATCATGAAAGCACTAAGGCTGAGACTGATACCAAAGGAAGAGAGATATGTCAATACTGCGAGGAAGGCGATTCAAGCCGTGCTGGATAATATCACTGAAGCTGGCGAGTTAAAGTTGGTGTCGTTTGGAACTCCTGTGTTCGACGATATCGAGGAGTATAAGCAGATACCACTGACGAGTATGCCATACGGACAGAGCCTGGCCCTCTTGGCGATGACGGAATACCTAAGAACTTTCCTGTAGTAGGCTGTCGTCGAAACCCAATGATTAAAAGAACATGGGTGTTGTAAAAGACGATCAATTACGTATTATGCTTCAAGCGAAAGCATAATTGGCCTCAGAGTCACGATCATTGTGATCGGCTTCGCCTCTACCTCCATCTTCGTTTCCAAGAAGTCCTTCATTTCGTAGCGTCGTGTCGGCTTGCGAAGAGATGAACATATATATCGTAATTCCGTAGCATAACACGGCAAGATGGCCGAGCGGTTAAGGCGTGTGACTCAAGAGTGCCGGTCGGTTAGAACGACTGGGAAATCTTGCCCTGATAAGGGGTTTCTCATCACGGTATCGTGGCGTGGGTTCAAGTCCCACTCTTGTCACTTTTTTTTTTGTTTCCTCCACATCCAGCGTCCACTTTTAGGCTGAGGCTCCGACTTTCACTTTCAACTGTCAAGAACTTGGCAATCCTGAATCAGAATATCGCATTCTTCACCGACGGTTTCGACCCTTCCCGAAGCGAAGGGGTTGGTCGACGCAGTACTCTAGAAGAATCAGTAGTTAGAAGAGCAGGTCTGTCATCGATTCATGCTTAGACTCTATACAGCCGTGCAATATAGCTGTCGAAAGGTGGGCTCTCATTGGAGAACAGTTCCAGCGAGCATGCAAGAATAGAGTTTTGCAGTCGTAATGTGGCTCATTCTCGAGTCGGAAAATGCTATACTTCGATTTTAATGAGGTAACTACCGGTCAGAATGTAAAGTCCCCGAATTCAAACATGTAAGTACATTTTAATCGTTTAGTGGTATGCCTTACGTTCTGTGTCTTGATTGAAGTGCTCTGGGAGCCTCCTAGCCAGAAGGAAATCCTATACTTACCAAAAGCCAAACACTCATCCGAGTCAACGGTAGACTGGAACCAGTGTCAGCTCAATCTGGATTCTGGTCCGCCTGGCGGCATCAGCTGTAATCAAGTGCTTCGAAAAAAAAACTTGGTATCGTCTACATTCAAGATATAATTTTGAAGGACTTTCTGTGTAACACTGTGCCAGTGCGACGACTACTACTACTACTGTAACACAGTCGCTAGTGTGCTGCACGGGCTTCCATACCCATATTATCCACTGAGACTAAGTTCTTGCATCCAGGACATCACGTTGAGTCAGCACCTATCACATTGAATATTTGGGGTCTCCGGGCTCAGCTGAGAGGACGCGTTATTCACATGTCCTCTTTTGTAGACGCAAATCAGGGTAGCACTGCCACTGAGGAGAACGCAAATATTCTCCATATGTGAAGTGCGATGAGGGACGTGTCGAGGATTGTCAGATCTCACTAGCTTAGGAACCTGATAAAGATCTCGAAAATCGGTCGACGACTACCGTTTCCAATGTGAAGTTTGGCTGCGTACCATACTGTATTTTATGAAGATTCTACCAAAAGAGATCGGGAAGACTGTTGATACCTTTTCGGTGAATATGTTGACCGTAAAACCCTCCGTCTGTTGCCTTTGACACACTCCGACACCGTTCGTCCCGATGGAATGACGCGGAGTTGAAAGACGGCGTGACGCAATAGTGGCCTTTTCTCGGTTTCCAAAATGTAGCCGAATGGCATAGACTAATTACAGTGGTTCACATGCATGGTCATCCATCTTCTCTACTTTAGACGTCGAACATTCTAGTACCCGCGTATTCGTAACATGTATGGTCGTAGATAACGATCAAGATGTTCTTCGCGCACCGTTTGATGCTCCACCACAGACGCCCGTACTGTGGAGTCGAAGCAGGCAGCTTCTGATCATATCCTTCCGAGGAGTGTTTTTCTCACTCTCGCAGCCCATGGGACCATTCGAATGCGTAAACAAACTACCGACAGAGATATCGGTCGATAAGGAAGTGGCGTTTGCATGAATTACTGGAGGTGCATATGACACTGGCTTGTTTTTCCGGTCTCCACAAGGGTTTATGGATGTGTGACAACGTCGTTTGGGTCGGGTGCGGTCTATGGTGCAAGTTAGCAGCCGGGAAATTTGTGATTGCTATAAAGAAATGTCCCCTACGCGAATTTCATCGCATCTCGAAGCTCTGGGCACCTTGCCTCATCCTAGTATGACTTGATACAGCACACTTGAGTCTTTCGGCTGGTAGTCTAGAGCAGAAGTCGGCGTCATGAGTAGATTTTGAGAGAGGACGTCCACATAGATTTACACACGGAGTTGAAGTGGGGGAATCCTTCTTGGCAGAAATAACGCTATTTGCGGCGCGTAAAAGTCAGCCCATCTGGGGCTAGTTAACCTATTGGCAAGATTTTGGTGTCAAATCTGAACATACATGGGTGAAATAATGCCTGGATTTAGCTTGTACATGTGGATGCGCAACTTGGAACGCGCCGGAAATGCCGTTCAACGCAGCAAATCCATTGGATACGATAACTCTAGCATCCAGAACGTGTTTTGAATCAAGAGTGAGTACCCCAAAAGATGGGCTGCCTTTTGTGTTGTTTTGGGCCAAAACTTTGCAGATATCAGCCCAAAAGCCTTGATCGATGAGCGACGGCTGCACGGTTGCGTCACTGGCAACTAGTGGACGGGGCCGTCCTTGTAGCAAACGCGATGCCCAAAAAGGCTCGCCCGTTTTCGATCGTACGCGTCGACTCTCGGCTATAATAATCTGTTTGCAATGGGACATGTCAGAGTGGCGGCAAATAGAGAAGCACACGGAACAGTGTGCCACTAGACAGGTATCAAACATAGCGCCGCGGTTGTTAAATTCATCGGGCGCGAAATGACAGGTAGTACGCTTGGAACTAGGCGGAGATTTGGACGCCAAATGCCGGAGGCAGTACCGTCCACCAGAGAGCAGAAAGATAGCTCATGTAAACATATCATATACGCATAAAGCCTCTGTGAGAAAGACACATCCGGAGCGCCTGATATAGTGAACTCCCCTCCCATACATTGAACCATTCTTTGCTCGTTCGTTACTTCGCCTTTTGCCAGGATGATAGAGGACGTCGTAAGAGATGAGACATCTGCATTGACAGTTCAGATGGCATGTAATAAGAGAGAGAAAGAAACAACACACCTCAAAGGACGCCGCTCCTCACCCAAACAAGAAGCGCGATGGACGCAAACGTGCGAAGGTCGCCTTAACGCTGGGAGGCTTTGTGAGGTCTAGCGACGGGTCAACATCAGAACAAGGTAGAAAGAAAGGGCGGCAGACCTCGACAAACCAGCCGCGTGGGGCTACACTGTTTGAAAGGAGCTGGCCGAAAGTGGGGGTGGAACAAACCCAAGGTCGAAGCGAGTAGAAATCGACGCTTATAAGCTGGAGAGTCAGGTCCAGAATGCCAAATCCAGTCAATGGAATGGAGGTGATTGATTTGAGATAACGGCGAGCAGCAACTCAGCTGATCCGACTAATTCCAGCGGCACTGCGAGCCATGGTGGTGGCTCAGATTTGGCGGAAATAAAAAGGCCAGAAATTCCAGGTCAGCAAGGTCCAAGTAGATGCTCGTCAAGGATATCAGACTTGGACTTGGAAGATAAAAGTTAAAGCGTAAGCCAAACTAAGCCAAATTTGATCAGATCCTTCCCGGAGCTCAGTCATCACTCTTTCATCCACTCTACATCGTCTTCACTAGTAGGAGGCAGAGTCCTAAGCGGATAGCTGGCTGTGGGTGAAGTGAGGTCCGTATCCTTGACCTCGAGTCCTTTTTTTCTGCTGATTTTTGTGTTATCTACCCCTCTCCAGTTCAGAAGAAGTCCGGATTTCGAGTATGGCGTTCCAGTATTCTAGGAAGGGTTGTTTCAAGTGCGGTAATCGTGAGTCTGCCAAGCATTCGCCACGGCCTTTATGTTGAATTCTCGCAAAGTCGGACATATTGCCGAGAACTGTTCCTCGGAGCAACGTCTGTGCTACAATTGTCGTCAGCCTGGTCACGAATCCTCTGGCTGTCCCTCTCCCCGTACTGTTTCTGCGAAACAGTGCTACTCTTGTGGCGGTGTCGGTCATATTCAAGGTCTGTCTCTCGCTAGTCCATCTTAGGAGACCAAGCTTGACGTTTGTACCAGCGGAGTGCCCGAGTTTAAGGATCCAGCAGCAAGGCAGCAATCAGAAGTGCTACGTACGTTGCCATTCGTTTTTCTGATCCAAGTACTCACTGATTTTCTATCCAGAACTGCGGCCGATTCGGTCATATTGCTCGTGCCTGTCCCAACGGAGCCACCGGAATGGGAGGCTTTGCCTCCCGGGCTCCTCCTCCCGGAAGGGCGCTCAATACCGCTACATTGCCGCCTGTAAAGTGCTATAGGTGTGGGGGTCCCAACCATATGGCTAGGTATGTTCCTTCTTGCTCTTTTTTCACTGCCTCACCTTCTGCTGTAGGGACTGCCTTGCAACCCCCGGTACGCTTGGTGAGACCACTGCTATTGCGAACAAGAGTAAGACCTGCTACAAGTGCCAACAGGAAGGTCATGTAAGTGTCTCTGGATCATCGCTGTCGTTGTCGTATGTTGCTCAACCGTTCCGTAGATTGCCAGAGATTGTCCCGAGACCGAGACATTTGTTGCTTAGGAGGAGGTGGTATCGCTTTTCGAAATTTCATGATGCCTACCATGGACTCCGCTTTTTTATATGTATCATTGCTCCATAATAGCGTTATATCTTGTTGGGCATCTTTATCATTTCGAGCAGAGCTTTACGTCAAACGAAGTGTAATTGCAAGCTGTATTTTCAGTGATCGGGATTCAAAATATTTTCACAGCGCGATCTCAAAAGTTCCCGCAAGGTGCCGTGTTATTTTCTTCAACTACAACCAGCAGCATGTCGATGATTTCCTCCGCCTTGTCCATGCTGCCCAAAAGAGCAGGCTTCTCGTTATGCCGTATGTTCACCCTGCCTCTCAATCCCGAACAGAAGAAATTTTCGTGCGGCACACCCTTTGACTTTTGATCTTTTTTTCGATTTTTCTCTGAAGAGGCATCGCGACGCGGTTTTTGCACCACACTACTCGTTCATCAGAACAGTTCCAGAGGACACGTACCACTTGCTACAGGTGCGGTGAACGTGAGTCTCCACATCAGTATACACACTAGAGTTCTTTCTAACAGTTTTGCTAGCCGGACACAGAGCCAACGAATGCACCAAGGAGCGCACATGCTATAACTGTGGGCAGCCTGGTCATGTTTCCGCTCAGTGTGACGCTCCTCGGAAGGCCTCACGGTGTTTCACCTGTGGTGAAGAAGGACATGTAAAAAGTATGTTTTATTCTGCCCATTCTTCCTTCCTTAGGGCTGACAATGTTGCCAGCGGAATGCCCTCAAGCAAAGTGTTATGTGCGATTAATACCTCCTTCTCGTCCTGTTCTCTCTGATGTTTTTC